GCTGGCCATAAAAACTCAACTTGGAAAATGAGATACCAGCTGGGAATTCAACAAACGACAGAGCAAAGAGAGCCATGGGGGGAGGAGAGCTTGAAAGCTTGTCATCTAATATATGGCAGGCAGTTGTGTTAAATGTAATTAAAACATTGTACATAATATTTGTAAAAATCTGTATTTGAACATTATTATATATTTGTATTTAAGCAAATCTACATTTTTTGTGTTTCAAAATTTGGTACTCTATATAGTATCTAGAATATTTGTAGCCACTAGTCTCTCTTTCATGTCTTCTATACTCATGTTTGTCCCTCTGTTTCGAATTAAAGTTGTTGTAAATAATACTCTTCTTCTCTTTATAAACTTTATTTAGTTCAGAGGTGAAAGAAAAACTCATTTCATGATATGTGTTGTGGATTTAAAGGAGTAGTTCACCTAAAAATAAATATTCTGTCATTTACTCGCTCTCTTGTTGTTTTAAACCAGTACAACGTTTTTTCTTAAGTGGATGATGGAATATTGTTTTGAAAAAAATGTTTTGGCCTTACAATGAAAGCCAGTGAAGTCTAATGTTGTTTTTGACATTGATTGTAATGACAAAAAAAATCTTCAAAATGTCTTTTTTGTGTGTTCAACAGAATGAAAGTTATAGGTATGAAACAACATGAGGGAGTGTAAATGAAGACAGAGTTTTCTTTTTTGGATGAACTGTCCCTTTAAGCAGGTTTTTGCATAAAAGTAACTGCAATAATTCACTGTTATTCAAATATGTAATCCATATGTCTGTAATTGTCCTTCATATTTCTACCAGATCTTAAGACTCTTTTTCCACAAACACTATCCTAAACCCAGAGTTTGGAATGGTAGTAGCCTATGTGAGTCGGAGGGAGAGAGAGTGTGCTGCTTTTCTCTCTCTCTCTTTTGACTGTAGTGTGAAACAGGCAGCCGTTGAGGAGCAAATGGTTCTCGCATGGTCCTGAGAGCTGAGGCATGCAGGAAAAAAATGGAAAGCACATGATTGTGATGTGTGTGTGTGTGTGTGTGTGTGTGTGCGCGTCACAAACCAGCCTTCTTTACTGAAACGGTGGAGTGTAGCAGTCTGTTAGTGATCAGCACAAAGCTTTTCTAAGGTGCAGGTTTTTATTCCACTAACTTTCTCTGAATCCATGTAAGGCTGATTGATTTTCATGTCTTCTTTGCTTTTGCCTGTGAGCGTATGTTTGTGAGCTCAGGTTTCTAATCTAATTCATGCCCCTGGGCAGCCAATTTCATGCTCAGCCCCTCATACAATGTTTGCCTTCTCCTTTTACACCAAATCTTACTCACTTAACATGCACCACTTTCTGTGTGTGTAATTCATACCCCGTTTTTAATTTCACCACTTTGTATCTACTAGAATTTATACATAAAAATGTCCATGAGCTAAGATTTAGTGTTTAACATATATGTCAATGTATTAGGGAAAGTATATAAATATGCTGTCAAGTTTGCTAAAATGTTTAATGCTTTTTAAAGAGGTTATATGCTCACCAAAGTTGCATTTATTTGATCAAAAAGTACAGTATAATCAGTAATATTGTGAAATATTAAAGGGGTCATATAATGTTGCTAAAAAGAACATTATTTTGTGTATTTGGTGTAATGAAATGTGTTTAAAGTTCAAAAAACACATTATTTTCCACATACTGTACATTATTGTTTCTCCTAACTCGTGTTTGAATCATCAGTGGCAAATCCTTTAAATGAAAACAGTAACCAAATTCACAACAACATTCACATCCACATGTCACGTCACTTTTCACTTTTTCACTTTTCACTTTTCAATATTACAGCGAGAATAAAAGTTACTCCTTCTTTCTTTGCGTGAACATTTGTGCGGTGTTATGCAAATCTTCCCA